GAAAATGATGTGACGAACTATGATGGTGAATATGATGAGTGATTAGTCACGGTGGTGGCGATGGTACAGACAGGGATGGTAACTGTTGGGCATGATGGTACATAGTGGCCACTGTGATGATAGTAGCAGTAATGTTGGTAGTAAAAACACAATAATAGTTCAATGAATTCTTACAAGTTACCCAGCAAGCCCAACTTCGCCACTACATCTCTCCCTCCTTCCCACAGCCCCACCTGGTAGTTCCACACACACACACACACACACACACACACACACACACACACACACACACACACACACACACCACACACACACACACACACAATATATATATATATATATATATATATATATATATATATATAACTATATTGCATATAGTCCTGGGGACCATTCAGGCTTGTTCGCATATATATATATATATATATATATATATATATATATATATATATATATATATATATATATATATATATATATATATAAACATTTCATACCAAGGTAAAACAGGGCAACTTGTACACAACAGATAAATCAATTTTCCTTAAAACATCACATGAAGTGAACTCTGTGATGGCCGGCCCTCCCAGCTGTGATGTTGTCATTTGGTGTCTTTATCGTGTTACTGTTACAAGTCTTGAGTAACGAGCTCTCAAGTTGTGTTCGTGTTATTGTTTGGCGTCATGGCCGCATTATGCCTCATATTGTTATTCTTTTCGTGTCACAACTGAGCACAACGTGATCTAGTTTCTTCACTGTTCCGGGAGATGGTCGCGGTCTACTGCTATTGACGCTGCTACCTAATACGAGCACTTTACTAGCACTAGCATCTTAACAGCTCTAACACACGACTTGATAATGGTCTTATTGAATTTGGATCGAAACGTCGTCGTTTCCTCATCTTCTGTTATGTGGTTTGGTCATCTTACCAGCTCTAGTATATCACTAGATCTAACACCTCATCAACACTGATATCACATTAGTTAACATGTCAAGACTAGTAAATCATTAGTTAACATACTGTCTGCATTAGCTCCTCACTAGCAACACCAGCTCCTCACTGGTCAACATGTCAACACCAGCTCAGCATCAGGTTTAATATCAGTATTAAATCAGCACTAGAACCTCATTAGTTACCATATGATTATCACTTGCACCTAGCTAGTGCTAGTAATTGCCCTCCCCGGTATAATGATATTTAGTTATATTTCTCGCGCTACTCATCTTAATAAGTGTACTAAAACCTCCTCTAAAACAACGCGTCGATTTATTATAATAATAATTATTATATCTTATTATAATAATAATAATAATAATAATAATAATAATAATAATAATAATAATAATAATAATAATAATTACTATTAACACAGTCTTATTATTTCTAAAATGCAGCCCATCCTCCTATTTAGACAGTACTTTTAGAAACCATGTGGACCATCGTACATTTATTGACGTAATGGACAATTCAAAAGTAGAATTTTGTAGTATTGAATTTGGACAAACCGGAAAAACTTTTGTATTTATGTTGCTAATAAAACCTAACCTATCCTAACCATCCTAGACTTAATACACGCTCTCTGAGACCTAATATAGTATATATATGTGCTATACTAGGCCTAGCTATTTAGTAGTATTTTTTCGGACTCTTATAAAGTGAACAGTACCAAATTCTACTATCTAATTGTCCATTACGTCAATATACCAGTAGGCTGGTCCACACAGTTACAAAAAGTACTATCTAAGCAGGAGTATGGGTTGCTAAAATCAATTATCATGATGAGAAAATACCTTTGACTAGCGGGTCGCGAATTCTCTCATACGCCTTCAACAACATCCGTTAATTAATGCAAAAACAGCCCCCATACACTCGTGGTAATAAAGCCCGTGACTCTTGGGTATTTAATGTGATAGTTAGGGACAGATCTCAGAAGGCGTCTCAAGTTGCCGTGGATGCTTACCGGATGTGCGATCACAGGCCAGTGACAGCTGTCGAGGAATTATGAGCCGTACGTAATTAACTCACAAGCCATATAACAATTTGACAAATTTTATGGTGGGAGTGCGTCCCTTCGGATTGACGAAGCACCTGAGTCACATTGGAAAATGTGTTAGACCTCCCAGAAACCCCTTCCTCCACCCCACCCCTCCTATCTCCCCCTATCGTCACCCCCTCCTTCCCCACCACTCTCACTACCCCCTTCCTCCCCTCTACTCCCCCCTGCTCCCCCATGACCCACTTGGGAGGGAGCTGGGGAAGGGTATTGGGGCCGAGGGGAGGATGATAGCACTTTTATTTTGGTTTTATGAACATTCCTTGATGCATGTTAGGGCGGGGGGAATGGAGGCGAGATGCACCATTAGCGTTTATGAACTTCTCGGCTGGTAGGTGTGTTGCGGGTAAGTAATGGCCGCGGCTGGCTCGCCCCTTAGCTGGGATCCCGTTACTTTGTCGTAAGGAACAGATCACCTGCCTTAATGGCCTCAGTTCCTACCTGCACACAACCGAACTTATGTGCATATGCTTGCAGGTGTGAATGTGCCTCTTTACTATACATGAACACAGACACACACACACACACGTGTTCTCATATATATATATATATATATATATATATATATATATATATATATATATATATATATATATATATATATATATATAATATATATATATATATATATATATATATATATATATATATATATATATATATATATAATAATAATAATAATTTACATATACATATCCTGGCAGGCGCACACAAAAAGCTGTATTGTAAACAAAGACAGACATACATATACTTTAAACAAAATCACTGGTTGCCGCAGACAGACGTGACTTAAGCTTTGTAACCAAACTTCCTGACGCAGACATTTAGAAAACGGGGTGTGTGTGTATTTACATCTTAGATGTTTTGTGAACAGTGTAACACTTACATTTTCTCTTATTGGATACAATGTATTTTTTCTTTGCTAAACTTAAAATCACGTACTTTTTGTAAATTAAAAACTCTTTTTTTATAACTAGTAAGGAGATAAATATTATCCCATTTTTGTACAGAGATGGAAATAGCTCTGAATCTCTTCTGGCGTTCTCCGAACCCAGTGAAACTTACTTTATTTGTGTTTGGGTGTCTTTTGCTGCTTAGTATACATCAGATACGCTCTTTGATGTCAGAGATCCTCCCTATTTCTGGGTGCTTTATGACTCTGTCGTCGCCCAGTTTGCTTAGAGAAATCTTCACGCTGCAAGAAGCATATCAATGACTCGGTGCACCACTTTGCTTTTTTTCATTGCTCTGGTATTAATTTTCTGATAAACCTCGTTAATGAGATGAGGTTTACATCACTGGGGAAAGTTGTTGATTTGGTCCTGAGCTTGTGGTGGGTGATATTAGTGACTCAGCGTGAGGTGGGACATGTGGGTGAATCAGTGTGGGGGTGGGTTATGTCAGTGAATTAGTGTGTGGGGTGGGCAATGTTGGTGAATCAGAGTGTACGGTGGGCGATGTCAGTGAATGAGAGTGTGGTGTTGGGTCATGTCAGTGAGTGTAAAGGATCGTGCCTGGATCAATCAATGAATAATACGGGAAGTAGGATGATGGGGGGGGAGGGGTGAGAGCGGAACTGTGAGTGTAGGCGGGTCGTGCTAATGGATCAGCAGACTGTTGTTGTGGTAGCAAAATGACCTTGCTGGAGGCCCCACAGCTGCCCTGAGTAGCTCTGATGCCTCTGTAAACTTGTCCAGAAATTGCCATGGTCATTACCTCATCAAGTCTCTCCCTCACACACACACACACACACACTTGTTTCATTCAAAATATTGCTGTCTCCCTCTCCTTCATCCGCATCAACTCTCTATTTCTTCGTTACGTCGCTTCCGTCTACAGTTCCCTCTCTTTACTAAGCTTGTCTTCCTTTTTCTCCTCCTTTGCTTATTTCCCGTTCCGTCCTTCCCCTTGTACGACCATCGTTCTTTATATTCCACTGTATCTTTATATTCTTCGAGTGCTACTTGGACTCATTCTTAAATGCCCATCTCTCATTCTCCTCTTTGATCTTTGCATTTTTAGTTTAACAGATATATTAATTTTTGCTATCTTGGTCGGCTGTCAGGCTATATTCTGGCATTATTAGTGGTGACTCGCTCCCACTGCCACTGTTGTCAGCACGCACGCACGCACGCACGCACCCCCACACCCTATCTCACTGGTACACACACACACACACACACACCAATACTAATATATATATATATATATATATATATATATATATATATATATATATATATATATATATATATATATATATATATATATATATATATATTTGTATACTGCGCAAGTATATTTAGCCGAGGTTGTAGTACTTGGTACGCGACGTATTCTTCAATGTCTTTTTTTGTATACCAAGCTTTCCTTCATCGTGGTTATCTATAACAACAGTTACCTTAGGGTGCGAATTTACCAACTTCGTAAACTGTATAATCAATAAAGACGAAGCCGTAATGATCGAGAAAAGATATACAGGTTTCGTAAGTGGACATGTAAATGCCTGATAAACACTGGCGCAGAACATCTATTTCTGAAGCGGGCGGATAAGCGTGGAAGCCTTGTACCCCGAGGCGGATACATCCAGGGTTATATGAATGATACATATGTGTTTCCTGTGCAGGGTCGGATAGACATGGTGTGGTCGAGAGTAAATATTGCAGGTTAAACTGAGATTCAAAACCCGGTTCGAATCCCGCATTATTGCTAAACTTAAGTGGTGAGTGTTTTAAGTGGGTAAAGATGAGCCTGATGTCCCCAGCACTTCCTTGTGCTAAGACGCCAGCAGCCACTATGAAAGCTATCGATAATCTCCCAATACAATTATTTTGGTGTATCTTACTGTAGCCAAATTTCACTGCCTTTTTGGTCTCCTGTTAATTAAAATGAAACATAACATTTTTTCCTTGTACCCTTTTGGTTGTGGTGATTTTTAATTTCAAGAAAGATGTTGTGTCCTTGGCAGGTGAAGGAACAGCTGAGTCAGTACAGCATCTCACAGCGGCTGTTCGGAGAGTCGGTGCTGGGGCTGTCACAGGGCTCCGTGTCTGACCTGCTCGCCAGACCCAAACCCTGGCACATGCTTACTCAGAAGGTAAACAAAGTACCCTTATCTCACTGGCTTAAACTTGGGTTTGGGACGTCTCTCTATCACATGGATTTGTGAACTAGTTTTGGAACACGTACCATTCTGGGTTGGAAACTAGATATGGAACAGCTTTCTACCACACTGGTTTAGAATTAATTCTGATGCTATCACACTCATTTCAAATTGGTTATGGAACTATCACACTGACTTACGGCTTGTTCTGGAACTATATCACATTGGATTAAAAATGAAGGTGAACGACTAAAAAATGTGTACCATACTAGTTAAGAACTTGTTCTGGAGCAATTTGATAACAGGAATAGTACAGGCACTGGAACAACTCTTCTCCATTGCCTCAGGAACGGTTCTAGATCTTCCTTACTGAACTTATTAGTGGATTTGTAACTACCAAACTCAGTTATTACTTTTTATGGAACTACATTTGGCCGAGTAGCCCTAGACCTACCATACTGAATTAGAACTAAATCTCGAACAACTTAGGATCGGGTTTAGAACAACACTTCCAAACTCGCTTAGACCTGGTACTGAAACAGTTCTAACTCTGACTTGGACAGGTTCTATATCAACTTTCCCACAACAGTTTAGGATTGGTTCTGTAAACACTAAATTGTCTTGGGACTAATCCTAGAAAAACTCCATCACTCAAGCTTGGGACTGGCTCTGGAGCAATTCCACCCACTCGGTGGAATTATAACTGGTTCAAGGAAACGTTAAGCACTCTTCCCTATAACCGGTTTTTGGAAATATACACCACACCATGTCATAGCCGGATGTAGCGACCATCTTCCACACTTCCTTATAACCGGTTCTAGGATAAATTCGTAGCCGGTTTTGAGATCAGTCCATTACAACTGACGGGGCAATTGCTACTGTAAACTATCCACAACAGAAGCAGTTCCAAGGCACTGTGATCACTTTATCTCAAAACCGGTTATAAATATTTCACGAAAGAAAGTTATTAGAACTGGTAATAATGCAGATTGATATTAGTATTCCAGAACTGTCTATAATATAGTGTTAATTAATGTATAACAGAACCAGGTATAAAATAAATAAAAGTTCCTCAGAACCGGGTTTTAATTTTATATGATAGAAGTTCTCCAGAATGTTATATAATAATATGGTGAACAGTTTCTAAACTAGATTTCCAGAACCAGTTATAATGTAGACTGAAAAGAAGTTCCAAGAACTAGATATAATATAGAACAAAGTTTCCGGAGTAGTTTATAAGAAAATATGACTAAAGTTCCAGAACCGGTTAAAAGACAGTGTTGAAAGCTTCTTAAAACCAGTAAAACGACAGTAAGGGGAAGGGAATATATTCAGCATTACAATGCCAACACTTCCACCCGGGTATCTTCAACTATGGCCCGTAACCCACCATTCAACTTCAATCCCTGCTGCCTCCTTCAGTTTTGTACTTCAGCCCCTGATGCATCAGTCTAATCCGGCGTTCATTCCCCTGACCGTCCAAGTGGTTGGGCACCATTCCTTCCTTCCTTCCTTCCGTCCCATCCCAAATCCTTATCCTGATTCCTTCCAAGTGCTATATAGTCGTAATAGCTTGGTTCTTTCTCCTGATAGTTCCCTTCTCATATTTCAATCCCTGCTTCATTCTCTAGTCTCTAACATTAATCTTTGCTTCATTCTTTAGCTTTTTGCTTCAATTCCTGTTTCATCCTCAAGCTTCTTACTTCAAAACCTGCCTCATTCTCGAGTTTCTTACTGATCATTGCTTCATTCTCTAGCTTTGTATTTCAATCCCTGCTTCATCCACTACCTTCGTTTATCACTAATATTCCTTCTTTAATTTTCCTTTTTATTCCTCCTCTTCGCCCAATGTTTATTCAGGATATTAACTTCAGTCAATATCATTTTTCTATGATATATTTGTCACAATTTCTTAGAGTAAACCAAAAGAAGAACAAACATGGTTAGGAATATTTTAATTTTCTCATTTTAACAGCCACAGATAGAACAACAAATTATTACATATTGTAGAACTTCAGTAATAATATTTTAATATGGATAACTGTAAATATATCACTAATGGTCATTTTGAAAGTTATCCACAATAACAATAGAAATAATTAAAGCAATAGTGTTAAAAATATTAATGGTTACAAATAATAATAATAATAATAATAACATATATTAAATCGTTTTCTACCATAGTTTCCACTGAAGAATTAACTAGGATAAAACACTGTGATAGAAAACACAAACTGTGGATGATGTTTCTTCACAAGAGCTTTCTCAAACTTGAAAGCTCTTGAAGCAAAATGTCATCTGCAGTAAAGGTCCTGTTCCCAAATCCAATTTTTACTTCACAGAAACTTTAGTTAAAAAAATAAAACACAGAAACATGTGCATTGGCTTTATCAACACGGGAAAACGTAATGATGTCATAAGGTGCATATATGGGTTGAGAAGGATCTAAAGGTTTCTGGTTGGTGTGCCTGACAGGGTCGTGAACCATTCATCCGAATGAAAATCTTCCTTGAGGACGACAACGCTGTGCACAAGTTGGTGGCCTCCCAGTACAAGATCGCCCCAGAGAAGCTGATGAGGACAGGAGGATACACAGCCCCGCCCCGTAAGTCTTACTCTTGTCTACGCTTCTTCTCCTGACTGTAGTGAGGGGGGAGAGAGAGAGAGAGAGAGAGAGAGAGAGAGAGAGAGAGAGAGAGAGAGAGAGAGAGAGAGAGAGAGAGAGAGAGAGAGAGAGATAGAGAGAGAGAGAGAGAGATTACAGCACAGAACATCTACTATTCTAGCTGTTATAAGCTTATCCCCACTGTCAATCTTTCTTGCTTTATCTCACAAATACATTAAAATAAGCATTTGTAGGGAATTTGTAATCTCTGCTTGAGTTTTAAGCTATATATGCCAGTCATATATACATATATATATACCGGTACTCTCTGCTTTTACTGGGATTAATAAGATGCTGATATATATATATAAAGTTAATGGGCCAGCAGTGGACATCCTTTTAACTATCAAAATATATATTTTCTTGTAAACAATAAAAAATATCAGTAACAAAATTTTATCTTCCCATTATCTGCGATGTATTAAGAAGTATCTTAATAAAACGATATTTAATAGAGGATTGATGAATATTAACCATATTTATGACGTGAATAACACCATATTTAACAGAGGATTGATGAATATTAACCATAATATAACCTGAATAACACGATATTTAAGAGTAGATAATGTTAATTATATTTATGACCTGCATTGTCCCCAGTCTGAATGAAATGTTAATCAACTTCCTTGTCCTTCTCGTTTTTAGTGTATTTAGTCGGTGGGTGTCCACTACCTGGGGGTTTAGCGCCCCCTGGGTCTCGTCTCCCAGGGGGGTTGTCCACTACTGGCTCACCCACCCTTCCACCATACACAAGTAAGCCCAGCACTCATCACTCTTAGCTTTTGTCTCACCAAGCATATTTTGCCAACAGCCCCCACTACTGCTTTTGTCATATTTGATGCCAATAAGCAAACAGCTGCTGCTTCACGATGAGTGATTATAATATATATATATATATATATATATATATATATATATATATATATATATATATATATATATATATATATAATGAAACATAGACGTAACATGTGCATATAATGCAATAGGAAATAGATACGAGGCTAAGACCCCAAAAATGATTATTATGACATAATATACTCGTGAGCAAATTTGGATAGATCACATGAGCAACATCCTGCCCTTTCTTCCGGCAGGTAGCAGCAAGCCACAGCACCACCTCAAACTCCCCGCAGACCTTCCTAAGAGCATGGAGTCGCCCCTTCCGCCCGTGGGAATACCCCCGTCTCTCGGCGGCTTACCCTTACCCACCCATCACATGTCCTTCGACGCCAGGATGCCTCTCCTTGACCCGCTCAGAAAGGTAAGGCTTTGTATGGAAGAATGGAGTTACTAATTTAGTCATTTACTATGCACCCCATACCCTATCCCGTGGGCGGTGGTGGAAAGGGTTACAGAGGCACATAATGGGTTTATTTAGCTAAGCATGAAACAATCATTTGAAGCTAGTTAGGCAGTTTTAGGACGGAACTCGGTGTGTTCCATACTTCACTGTAATTATATGTTTATTGGGATTCTGATGTGCCATTTATTAATTACCAAAGTATTCTTTAATAACTATTTTAATTGGATTAACTTCTGTGCCTTGATGTAACTGAAAACATTAATGACAAATTCAGGACACACCATCAGTTTTACATGGTAAAATTTAACTAAATGTTACGAAATGATGTTAATGTTTGTGTGACGCTGCAGGCGGGGATGGGCGGTGTCCGCGCCCCGGGACCAGTGGCTCCCTCAGTGTACGAAATGGCTGCGCTGACACAAGACCTCGACACGCAGGTCATCACAACCAAGATCAAGGAAGCTCTGCTAGCCAACAATATTGGCCAGAAGGTCAGTACCAAACTGTTTGTGTATTAAAGGGCTAAGTCATCACGGTAATACTATTATATTTCATAAAATACTACATCAAAATTATTAAATTATGTGTGTATATCACGAAAACAAACACGTGATTAAGAATTACGTGTTTATACATTCTGAAGATGTATTTAATATACGAAAGTACTTAAGGGAATTCCTGTTTCATTTTCCTCCGTGGTCTGACATTGTCACATTATTAAATTATATATATATATATATATATATATATATATATATATATATATATATATATATATATATATTTTATATATATATATTATATATATATACATATATATATATATATATATATATATATATATATATATATATATATATATTATATATATATTTATTTATATATATATATATATATATATAAATAAATATATTATATATATATATATATATATATATATATATATATATTTTATATATATATATATATATGTATATGTATATGTATATAAGCTATAGTTTTCATTAACTAATGATTACATTTTCTTTCTTCACAGCTTTTTGGAGAGGCAGTGTTAGGACTGTCTCAGGGATCCGTATCAGAACTGCTAAGTAAGCCCAAGCCATGGCACATGCTTAGTATCAAGGGTCGAGAGCCATTCATCCGCATGCAGTTATGGCTCAACGACTCCCGCAATTTGGAGAAGCTTCAGCAGCTGAAGAACGAGCGACGAGAGGCCAACAAGAGGCGGCGTGCCCTAGACCCCACTGTCGAAGTGTCACAGGATTCTCAGGACGTTTTCCAGGCTCCTTCACCAGGAGGTTCCTCAAAGAAACAACGTGTATTATTTTCAGAGGAACAGAAGGAGGCTCTCCGATTGGCCTTCGCCCTTGATCCTTACCCAAATTTAGCCACCATTGAGTTCTTGGCACAGGAACTGCAATTGTCTACCCGCACCATCACTAACTGGTTCCACAATCACCGAATGCGGCTCAAACAAAACCCGAATAGTCCTGGAGACAGTTCACCGTCACGTGACCCTCAACAGCCTCCCCCAGGCCAGCCTCAAGGACAGTCCTTTGACCCACTTCACTTCCGTCTTCTCCTCTCTCAGCGACTAATGGAGCTGAGGAAGGAGAAAGGCCTGCCACCTACGATGCCAGGTCTTGGCCCTGGTCTGCACCCAGGTCTCTTCCCACACTTCCCTCATCTGGGACCACATGGTCTTGGCAGCCAACCTCTCGATCGTGATATTAGTGGTGGTCTTGATCTATCGATGAAGCCAGAAAATGACTATGATGATTCTTCACTGGTAGATGAAGATTCCAATATGTCCGGTGCCATGAGTCCAAGTGGAGGCGGACGGTCAGAGGGAGAAGGTGACGACCGTGATGGACGGGGAGCCCCTTCACCTGTCTCTCGGTCTTCTCGTCGAAAGCCCGCTGCTCCTCAATGGGTCAATCCTTCCTGGGCGTCTGGTGAGGGTGGTAAAGAGCGAGAAGTGATAATTAACGGAGTATGTGTCATGCAAACCGATGATTATCGCTTGCGAGAACAGGAAACGGTGCGTATTGAGCCAACCCCAGTAGATGAGGCTCGCGCCCGTTCACTCAAGGAAGAAGGCGAAGACGAAACGGAAGAAGAACAACAGCAACTGCCAGTCTCCACTGTCTCATCTTCCCCGTGCCCAGACACCATGGAGACAGATCCGGCGACGTTGCAAGAAGAAGATCCTTCCACCGTGCAAGAGGAGCCAACGCCCAACCAGGAGACCATCAAGCAGGAGGCTGAAGTAGAGGAGGATGAAGAGGCGTGATGCTAGCATCGGCCTAAAGCGACGCTTTTGGATTCCAGAGTTTATCCCGTTGTTCTTAGCGTGTTGTTGTTCGTGCATTATACCAAATGTTTCGTCCCGTCGGCAAGTGATGAGCTTCGCAAAGTCGGACGATGATGCCAAGGTATTGTATCGCCAGAGAGCCTCGTGGAATCTCTTAGGCACATTGTGGGCCTTTAAAATCACAATTTAGACTCTCAAGTCATAAGTCCTACAAAATGTCAACCTCTGTTATTTTATTATGAAATGTTCGTGTGTTTTACTTGTTAACTTGTCTAAAGATTTGTATATATATTTCCCAAGTTTTTGATCAAGCTCCCCTTAGGTTAGGTGACTTCAGGTATTTAGAATGCCATAATGCTGAACTGTTCTCTGCTTGTTGCCAACGTGACAGTGGTGGGAACTCCGACCTCTGTACAGTGCTTAGTGTGTACGGAACTTGCCACGACCGCTCGTCCAAGGCGGTCACACAAGACGAGTGTTTCGTACCAGTGAAATGGTCGAATCCTGACATATGTAATATATATATATATATATATATATATATATATATATATATATATATATATATATATATATATATATATATATATATATATATATATATATATCTCGTATGCCCCTGTGAGATAATGATATATTCCGGTGATCCCTTCATTGACCAAATAGTACAGAGTAGAACCAAATAGTATCCCTGTTCCCCCCAACCCGAGTGAGACTAGCAAGTTACCGTTAAATAAAAACTATACAAATGGAGACTGTGGCTTGGGTACAGGTAAACCTCTCTGTGTGGCCCAGGAAACAAATGTTCGAGACTGTTAGTTCTAGTCTTATTTTTCTCAACTAATTTCACATTTTCATCGTTCAGTGAACTATGCGTATATGAAATATCCATCTAGTCTATGGATTCAGCATTGGTTATTCAAGGTTTCATGATCTCTCGTAGCCCTTCACCGTGTGTTCAAAGAAGAGAACTTTTCTTCCAGCTTCAAGAGTGCAAAGAGACCATTGTAAATGTGCAAGAAAAAGCCCAGTTGTAAGCCCCATTCTCGGCTCGGAATACACAGATGGCTACAAACTAATCGAATGGTGTAGCTAAGAAGGAAACGCAGGACATCAAGAATCAATCTGCTTGGAGCACCGTTCACCCTTAACAATCATCCACACACACACACGCGCGCGCGAATGACGATGCCCCAAGTGATACTTGAGCACTCTGATGGCTGGTGATGTGCTGGACGCTACCCTGTGCCCGTGGAGGTTCTTAGGGCAAGGGAGGAGGGCATTACTATCCACTCATCACCCGCTGGTCCAGAGGCCATGAGTGGAGGATGGGACAGAGGCTGTACCACTTGTCTTGTTATTGGTTATAGGATTTAAGAATGAGTACTTCGTGGAAACTTGCACTATATTTGGATAGAATTAACATGTATTACTTAAAATTCCATTTTTATTGTAATTAGCTATTTTATGTACAGGTTATTACTAATCTAATTAAAAAGAAAGTAAAGGTTGTCAAGAGTTACTTACACACACACGAAAAGGAACTCGCCCAATCAAATTTGCTGACGTACTCCTTGTAAGCATTCATTGTATCATCAACTTGTTAATTAAGTTAACGATACATTGTCATTACCTGACCCATGATTACAGCGTATCACAAATTAAACTGCAAATCCAAGAATAGAGAATCACTACTTTCAAGATAGTTATGCTATTAATTTACAAACGACTACAGTACAAAAATTACACACACACATATACATATACACACACACACACACACACACACATATATATATATATATATATATATATCAGAAAAATAAATTCCAAACAACACTTAATATTTGCGTTGTAGTTTTTATCTGTTAATTATAGACTTTTTAAATGTTAAACTTCAAAGTGTAGTCCGCGATTAGCACTGAAACGGAGGCAGTGAGACTTCTTTCATATAGTAACAATCCTCGCAGCTGTCACCACTCATCTCAGACGTCTTCCCTCCAGCAAGGAAAATCATGCTCCTTAGACCTCTTCCCGCCACCACCACCAGTTCCCTCACTCCTCCAAGTCTGTATTCTTGCTGTTTAAGATTCACTACTTGGAACAAAAAGTTCCAAGTAGCACGGGCTATGGTGAGCCCGTTGTGGACTTACCTGGCACAGGAGCCCAGGGGCTGTAACTGCCCAAGTCTGTATCTGGCTTCCCATTATAACCTACCTCAACAGTGGACCCAACTTGCCCTAACACTATACCTACCCCAGCTGTGACTACGACTTACCTTAACACTATATCTACCCCAGCCGTGACCACGACTTATCTTAACACCATACCTACCCCCCGACACTAAACGCGACCTGCCCTAACATCATACCTACCTCAGTAATGAAAACGACTTGTCCTAATACTTTACCTACCCCCCAACAATGAACAGTATTTGCCTTAATACAAACTCCATTGCCCTTCCCAGCATAAACCTTGCCCTAAATATGGAGTTGACTTTACTGGCAGCCAGAGGAGACTGGGACCTGACCTCCGCGATCACCGGGGGGCCTGACCACCCTACATGGGTCCGTGTGAAGGCCGCCAGACTATTGTGGTGGGCGGAGAGTGACATTTGAGCTGGTATTCCCGCCAAACGATTTGTTCAAATTTTCCATGTGACCGATAATGATAATTGTGACCGTTCCGGGGAATGTCTCGTGTCTCGTGTACGTATGTTCTAATGTGTACGTACGTGGGATGTGTACATTATTACATGTACGTGTGCAAGTGGGCACGACATGCCATATGATCTCGAAAATTTAATGTGAATCTAAAGGAAGAGAACAATTACCATAATTTTTTATTATGGACCCTGATTTTTCCGTGAACAATCGAGGGAACCTCTTCCGATGCTTCCAATACCCTGTGTCCCCCCTCGCAGGAAGACATAAATTATATGAACAACTCAATACGACCATCATTAACAAAAGACTAGGTTCCGCCCGCTGGTTCTTCCTCCATGTTTTCTGTAGAAAGTTATTATAAATCCCACGAAAAAAAGGCGAATTTAAAACCTTATAGAAAGTAAATACAGAGTTGATTTTTTTGTATTTTAGAAAATTCAGAAGCCAGAGCTTATTTAGTGTACAAAACAGTGATGGTGGAGAAATTGGAAGTGGTGAGGAAAGAGGTGGTTTTGGTGATACAGGAAGATGTAGTGGTCGTGGAGGAAGGGGCTGTGGTGGAGAAAGAGGTGGTGGTGGTGGTGCTGATGGAAGAGGTGACAGAAGAGGATAAAGTGGTGATGGTCTGGGGAGAGAGAAAGAGGCCAGTTGCTGGCGGTGATCAAGTGGGGACTAATCTAATTTGCTGTGTCACATCCATCACACATTTATGGATGTGGCAACAAGCCTGTGTAAGTCATTTGCGCTTTCCATTTGTTCGTGGAAATGAGGGAAAGGCTGAATGATGGACCCCTGGCCGGAATAATGAGCTGATGCAGATTTTGATTTGCAATTTGTTCTGTTTTGCATATTCTTCTTTTCGTGTATCTAGCGATACCGCTCAGACGAGTTGAGGTCGAGATAGAGAGTTCCTTTTATGTGTGTGTATAGGGACTGTGTTTTTCTCAACAATAATTACTTCCCGTTATTTTGCAGTTAAGTTATAAAATAACAAGATAAATATAGTACAATTTTCCACACAAATGATGTTTGTTTTAAGTAGGACAAAGTATTTTATATTTTTATTCAATAAGTTGTCGTTAGTTGAACGTTTACCTGTGTGTGATACCAGTGATTCTTCAACTTGAAGATAGCTATGAGTTGATGAGTTCCCTCTGACGTCAGCAGTCCTGTGATGACTTGGGTCTGACGTCACGAGGTGATGGTCACAAGTTATGGTGAGGTGACGTGTGTTCAACGTTACAGTGGTCACAAATATACTGTGTAACGTTACAATGGTCACAAGTTACGGTGTGACGTGTGTAGTCACAAGTTATGATGGTCAGTCCTCGTAAAACTATATTTATTGTTTAATGATGTTGCAAGATGTGTAAGAATAACAAGACGATTTTTTTTCCAAGTCATTTTTTTTATTGTTCTTATTCGTTGATTATTTATATATATTATTACAATTTTTAAAGACAATTTTTTTCACTCGTGTTAAGCTGTTAACTTTGTAAATAATTTAGCTGTGAAGGACAAGATAGTGACAGAGAAACGTTCCGGGGCGCTGAGAGCGTGACTGCAGGTAGGGAAGTAACAAATCGACAAGGCTTTCCATTACAAGTCTAACTCGTTATAGAGTGTAAGGTGTACATGTTAAGGTGACTAAGAGTGAGCCAGAGCAGCTCGCCACCACACAGCAAGGCCAGTTTGTCCCCCCAGAAGTAACACATTGCGTGAAAATTATTATTATGTAATTCTGATTCGTTTCGTAGTAGGACTATTCCTTTTCCATGTTCTTGTAGCAGGTAGTGTTTATCCTATTGTGGGGTGGTAATTGGCGAGTCTTGTGAACCCTCTCCCTCCATCTCACAACGTAGCGCTCGTTACCACACACTGCGGACTGAGTCCTGAACGTGTACAGCGGGTGAAGTGAGAGAGGGGGAAGGCTTTCCCCTATGTTGGAGGGGGCGGCGGCCCTGGTGGACGTTGGCCTCCACACACTCGTCAACCTACTGACTTGTGAAACATGCTTAATGATTAATTCGGAGACCATTAATGTGATTAAACGCAGAGTTCATTAAATCACTTAACGATACATGATGGGTTCATTAAATCTATTTGATCACTGATGGAAATGAGTTCATCAGGTGTACTTAGTGATTAGCACCGAGCTCATGAACTGACTTCGACATTTTTAATTAATTTATTAAGTTATTGCAACTCCATTTACAAATGCAATTTCGTAATTTGCGCCGAGATGGTCGATTATCAGATAATCGCAAGAGGCACTGACAACTTGTTCCTGTATGACGGGGCAAGAAGGTGCTAACTCACCCCGTTCATCGAGGTGTAGTTTCCTTAAAGGAGTCAGTGAGTTATCTAATTATTCAGTTAGAACCTCATGCTGAAGTTCAGTAAACGTCTCACAAGTCTGAGTTCAGTCTCCGGAGCCCACTCATGGTCATTACCCTGGGAGATAATGTAATTATCTTCCCTTATTGTACTCTTATTGATGCGACTTTCAAGTTAAAACAAGGAGTAAGCTATAGTGACCTAAATGGAATATATATATATATATATATATATATATATATATATATATATATATATATATATATATATATAAAACAGGTCAAGTTCCGTTAAATGATTAACGTCTTGATAATTTATTCATATACATCTTGATTCTGTACAACTATTATGATATGAATTCGTTTTGGACCAAAATAACTTAGCAAGCTCACCAAAGCTCAGTACCGCCTAAATTCGACTGACATTAAATAATCAAATAATCATTCAAATATGTAACATTGTGATAACAAGATCCTGCCCAGTCGGACCAGGCGAATCTTACTCCAAGACAAACGATTCTGTCTAAAAAAGTACGATAATATGAATACAGTAATACGTCAGTATAAGCGTGGTTTGTTAATTGTTATAAAAATACTTGCAAGTTCATCGGACAATGCAATTAGGGGGGGGGAAGGATGGCCTTTACTGCTCTATATTTTGGAACTCAAATAGCAAGAGCTGGTCTCACCTAATTATTCCCAACAACGCAAACGGTGACTAACAGCCAGGTAGCCAGCTGTCTACCAGTTGTGGTGACCATCTGGTAGGTAATGGCCAGTTGTGCCTGCCGTGCTCGACAGTGCGTGGCGTCTAAGGAAGGCTCAACTTTGGACCCCAAATCCCTGCTCCGCTCCCAGCCCCGTCGGCAAGCTGACCAAACATGGGCTCAGTTTGCAACTTTTTAACAATAACAAACTGAATGCAAACCGTTTTTTACAAAGACAATCAATTATTCCCCCACCCTTCCCTCTCCACTTTATCTAACGATCTTCCCTCATGACTATAACAATGTAAAGATAATAGTTGAGAGATAGTATCATTTGAGGAGGATGTGATTTGAGATTTGTTTAATTGTGACGAAGTTCATTACTTACCCCGATAAAAAGAGAATAGTAACTTTGAGTCTCAAAGTTCTCAAATCTTATAATCACTTCCCTCCGTAACCAACCTTTACACATCTCCTGACCTGTAGCTGACACACTGATCGGTAGAAAAATATATATATATGAATTAGAATTCCAATGTCTGTTGTTTTCTTATTAAGTAATTAGGAGGTGTTGATAACGCGATCAGAACAGCCAGGCCCTCCTGGTTAATCTCCGTAAGGATCATATTACCAAGATAATTATCATATTGTTTGTAATTAATTGTGTGGTTTTCGTGCCTTCCTTGTTTCTTTGTTCGTTGATTTGTTAGTTTGTTCTCCCGATAGTCACGCAGTATTCCTATCTCACACAGAAATTCTACTATATACGTTCTTGTCCGTCGAAGGAATTTTTGAATTTTATCATAATTAGCATATTGAATTTTTCTGTATAGTAAACCTGTATAGTGTCCTCTTAGACAATATTTCATTCCAGTGATATTCCAAAACCCCGTATGCTGAATAGTGAATGAAAATGTGGTGTGTTCAACAAGCCTTAGATGTGGTTGTCAACAAAAATTTACTTAATGAAAACCGCTTATGTGTGAACAGTGATTACTGACTAGTTGTGGGAGGTTCAGGTTTAAGTGCTGACGCGCGCATTAGTGACAGATCTGTGTGTGTATGTGCGCAGTGCAGTGACCGTACGGTGCAGCGCAGTGACGGTGCGTATGGCGGATGACAATGTGCGCACAGGCCCGTGGACGCATCTCCCAAATGTGATGTTCATATGTTATCTTACTCACTAGATAGCAAACATGACATAATATTAATCCCTGCTTGCATAATAGAGATGATTTTTTTCCCCCTTGATTGAAAATAATGGATTATTAAAGCAATATTGTGACTACAAAAAAATTGATTTATTAAGCGAGAAAAATAAACATAGGAGAAAAATAATGGGGAAATATTTTAAGCTATATTAGTGACTACAACCAAAAATATATTGAGGCCTATAATAGGTGATGCTTTGACGAGTATCAGAAAACACGCTTAAGTGAATTTCTGTGCAAGGAAGGGATAGAGAGCCCATGTGTTCGGACCCGCGGCGGTGTTCGAACAAAACGACGTGTACGACACCTGTTGTGGTGTTCGAATGAGGTGTGCTAGGGACGATCTGTTGTGCCAATTGCCAAGTTTCTTCTTCTGTGTCATCAATAAGGGTCAGTATGGCATTTATCTATTGAGCATTTTACGCCCTTATCTACTTATACTTACAGTCACAAGATAGGTAGAGCCCACCACCCTTAGTGGAGACACTGTAGGGGTCATCCACACTGTATGGTGTATGTAGACTACAGTGCGTTCACTACCATATACAGCCCATCCTGCAAGAAAATTTTGCATTGTAAGATTTTAAATTAAGTTTAATATTATTGTACATAAAATATTCATATCAGTCTGTATGTCTTTTGAGATTTCTAAATTAAAACTATTTGTCTGTATTTATACAGAATATATGTGACTTTATTTATCCTTATGTACTAAGCAGTTTTAAGAAGAGGCTTTGTGTCTGTGTAAATATTTATATTTACATGTTTTATTTATTCGTCTGATTAAAAAAACAGAAAAAATAGCTACTATTAAAATAATGATTACAAAATAATAATAATAATAATAATAATAATAATAATAATAATAATAATAATCAAACAATTCAAAAAATTGCATGCCCTCAAAATGCAGTGACTCATCAAATAATATTATATTTATTATACTGAAATGAAAATGGCAAAAGACAAGTTACATAACAAATGACATTAATATTCAGGAAATCACAGAGAGAGAACTTTGAAGACGACAAATGTGTCACTCAACACAACAAGAATTCAATATATACAACAAGTGATTACATGGAAATTAATGCAATGACAAAATGTAGAGATCTTTACATCACAACTTCCCCCGAGGGCTGACACGCGAGAAATGCTTAATACATAACTACGAAGTAATGATATTTTTAACACTACAAAAGACGAGCAAATAAATACGCAACGTTTAATAACTTTCAAATATATGGTTGCAAAGCACAAGATAGCGAGAGTGACGAAGAGAAGCACCAAGATGACAGCACCACTGTTTACACTTAAGATAACCAAACACTGACACTTGCAACAAAGTCCATTCTCATCAGAACCTTAACCTCATCACCTTCGCTACCCATCACCTCACTTTCACCACCCCTCACCTCACCTTCACCACCCTCACCTCACCTTCACTACCCTCACCTCACCTTCACCACCCTCCCCTCACCTTCACTACCCTAACCTCACCTTCACCATCCTCCCCTCACTTTCACCACCCTCCCCTCACCTTCACCACCTTAACTTTACCTTCACAAATAATGACTATTCTCACCTTTATAAGATATTTTTATGGAACCAATACAATTCCATTTAACACAGAGTACATCACATGCAATAAATATCCTTCCTCTGAAGAGCGGAAATATAGGTTTACGGAGCTCTAACAAAGGTATAATACACACGCCATTGGTCATTACGCTCTTCGCCAAATAACTTTCTATTTTGAATACACAAGACAATTTAATAAAATATGAAATCCTCACTGAAAGCAGAGTTGGGAGAAAGATAAAGATGCAAGGTTAGAATCCTAGTGAAGTCTAGTGAAGCCTAGTGTAGTGAAGCCTAGTGTAGTGAAGTCTAGTGTAGTGAAGTCTAGTGTAGTGAAGTCTAGTGTAGTGAAGTCTAGTGCAGTGAGGCTTAGTGAAGTCTAGTGAAGCCTAATGCAGTGAAGCTTAGTGAAGTCTAGTGTAGTGAAGCCTATATGTAATATGCTCGAGAAGGCTGACAAGACCTGGCGGTAAGAGGTACTAAAGACCTAACGGTAAGAGGTACTAAAGACCTGGCGGTAAGAGGTACTAAAGACCTAACGGTAAGAGGTACTAAAGACCTGGCGGTAAGAGGTACTAAAGACCTAACGGTAAGAGGTACTAAAGACCTGGCGGTAAGAGGTACTAAAGACCTAACGGTAAGAGGTACTAAAGACCTGACGAACTAGCAGTGCATGTATTCGTGAAATGGACGGAAAGGCGAGCTAGTAAACAATTATCTTCATTTCACAGAGACGGTACAAGAGACAATATTCAGGAGACTACTCGCCGAGACTCCTACCCGCCCCAAACTAAATCTATACAGAAATTACCTGTTCATCGCCTACATGTGGATCAGAATCCCAACTCCCAGAAACCTATGTCACCCCCCCCCCCTACTACCGCCTGGTTTACCGGTGATAAGATACTCTCTCTTTACTAGAAATATATATACTTAGGCAACTCTGAAAGTATCTCTCTCCATCTCCACCACTACCCCCAACATCTCTAGCAACATCTATCTGTTTTTATCCTTGTCTATCTCCACTACCACCTCCGTCAATCACCATGGCGTTGTCCCTCTAAGATCACACAGAAGACAAATTCTTATATTTTTCCAGTTACATCCTCCAGTCTTAATCATCATTCATCATCATCCTCCACCAAAACTCCTCTCCATCCTCCACGAAGTATGACATCAACCATCGTTCTCCAACAATTTGTAAATAAAAATTATATAAATACAAGTGGTGTCCAATCACTTGTACGGTCGGGGATTGAACGCCGACCTGCATGAAGCGAGACCGTTGCTCTACCCTCGAGCCCAAGTGGTTGGGCCACGCTGTACACGAATCATGCGCTGTACATGAACCATGATAACAACGAACCACAATATAATCTACCCAATTATACCAAATTTGAAAGCCTGAATGAAATATTTCCATCCGTTTGGGGCGGCGAAGAGCCGGACACACAAACAAACAACAGTTCTCCGCTGCCGGTTTGTAACGAACACTTGCCTGAGTTACTTGACGCTAACCGGAAATATCTATTTATTTTCTCTACAGAGTTCTGACCGCAAAAAAATGAAACCTTATGCGATATTTGTAAATTATCCTCCCCCCACACCCCCACTGCGTCTCTGATCACCACCAGTATAGTATTTGGATTTATATTCAGGGGAGATAAGGCACTAATAGTTAGGCATTTGGTGTTGACGAGTAGAATATCCTCATCAGAAACTGATAAGGTTTGATTTTCGTTAAGAAATATCACGTAAAACAAAATCGTACTTGTGAAATTAAAATTAATTACCTTCATTCAGAAACGGTTATACATTTATACTTAGTAGACAAAATTCAAGTACATTATAATTTATATATAAAAAGTAATAATAATAATAATAGCCTAATATTGATAATAATACTTGTTCATTATTGTATAAAATAAAAGTGTGGGTGGTAGAAGAAAATATTAAAAGTGTTCAGTGAGAATCCACAAGGTCTTCTCAGAATACTCTTTGTTCTTTTCTCTGAAGCTATGGGTTCCTACAAATATATGCAATATGCATAGTTGATGGAAAGCACCAAATAGTTACTTATAGTAACTCTATATATATATATATATATATATATATATATATATATATATATATATATATATATATATATATATATATATATATATATATATATATATATATATATATATATATATATGACAATGTCAGACCACGGAGGAAAAATGAAACAGGAATTTCCTTAAGTACTTTCGTATATTAAATACATCTTCAGAAGGTCGGGCTTCAGACCTTCTGAAGATGTATTTAATATACGAAAGTACTTAAGGAAATTCCTGTTTCATTTTTCCTCCGTGGTCTGACATTGTCACATTCTTAATCACGTGTTTATTTTCGTGATATACACACACACACACACACATATATATATATATATATATATATATATATATATATATATATATATATATATATATATATATATATATATATATATATATATATATATATATATATATATATATATATATATATATATATATATATATATATATATATATATATATAACTATTTGGAGCCTTCCACTAAATAGATACTGTACAATAAGTAATTTCATTTTTCATTTTAGGAGCATGGGTTCATACACAACCCATCCTCGTGTTTAGATAGTACATTTCGTAACTAAGTGCACCATAGTACATTGATTGCATACTATGCAGTCAGATAGTAGAACTTTGTACTATTCCCTTTATAGTTCGAAAAAATGAAGCTAAAAAAAACATATATTCCTAAACCTTTTATAGCACACATAGTACTATATTAGGCCTCAGATAGGCCTAGGAAGGTTAGGTTAGTTTAATTCGTCTTTGCAACATAAGTACAAAATCGTTTTCCGGTTTGTCCAAATTCAGTAGTACCGATTTCTACTTTCTAATTGCGTTGTACGTCGGTATATGTCCTCATCCTTCCTATAAGTACTACCAAAACAGGAGGATGGGCTGATATATGGTATATATATATAAATATAATTAAAATAGGAAATAACTATCATGTTCAGTTCTATTGTTCTAGATATTAGGTCTAGAAGGAAAGAGGATATTACCACTGAACCTTCTTCGACGCCATGAGAATGGGGAAGCAGTGACCCATGCAGCCCACTCTCATCAACGTCTGTCAGCTACCACCCCATTAGCAGTGAGGGGAGAGAGCTGGGACTCTCACTCTTCCCCGAAGCTCTACATCTGGGTTTATAATGGTACGAGTGATCTGAGACGCGCTCCTATTCTCATAAGACCTGAGAAGGCCTAATGGCTCATACGAGGAAGCTCGTTTTTATATCCACCCAGACTCATTCATATATATGTCTGAAACAATCCAGCGATCCCACGTCTTTTTTGTTCCTTGTAATTTGTTCTATAAGTTAGCTACCTATTTCCAAACCAATATTTACTCAGGTCTTTTTTTAAATTTACTGATTTATTATAAATTTGTTCGTGTTATGTTTTGAGCCGAGATATTTAAAGTCTTATTTATAACTTTGTTTAAAGAGAATGGAAATTAACTTTTTTTTTTTTTAAATCTCACTTCTTATGGAAAACTTTGTCATCCTTTTCCGTACATGTTCAATTGAATGTATGTCCATTCTTATAATATGGAGACCAAAACTAAAGTGCATAATTTAAAGGGAACCTAACAAGCTGGTGAAGAATAATATTAGATATCTGAAAATTGACTTTCTCCACCACTTTCTTCATTACACGACATGATAATAGTTCAAGACGGACAGCTACATCCCCACCTCCTTTATTTTTCACTCTTGTAGGCTGGGATTCAGCCACGTTGCTTACTGACCAACCAGCAAGTATACTTTAGTTCACAACATAGTCCAGGACTAATGTAAACTCTCAAGTGTATATACATCGAGAAGCAATGTACAACTCTTGCTGTACATATTAACTTGAGAAATGGTGATTGTGGGAGAGCATAAACTGTAAAAAGCTTTCCCTCCCTTTCTCAGTAATTAGCAATTCTAGAGGGGGTGAAGGTGTACGCACCATCCTTAGTCTATCAGAACTCCAAACGAACAGAAGGGATGAGTGTGGAGG